TCTCGCTGGGCGCCGACGCGCTCCCGGCGCTCAAGGGCCGCACCCCCATCCAGTGCTACGCCGACTTCATGCGCGCCTTCCGCGACCACCTCGCGCCCTACATGGGCAACACCATCTGCGAGATCCAGGTCGGCATGGGCCCCGCCGGCGAGCTCCGCTACCCCTCCTACCCGGAGAGCAACGGCACCTGGTCCTTCCCCGGCATCGGCGAGTTCCAGTGCTACGACCGCTACATGCGCGCCAGCCTCAAGGCCGCCGCCGAGGCCGTGGGCAGGCCCGAGTGGGGCAACGCCGGCCCCGAGGACTCGGGCAGCTACAACCAGTGGCCCGAGGACACCGGCTTCTTCCGCCGCGACGGAGGATGGAACACCGACTACGGCCAGTTCTTCATGAGCTGGTACTCGCAGATGCTGATCGAGCACGGCGAGCGCATCCTCTCCGCCTGCTCCTCCGTCTTCACCGGCAGCACCGGCGTCAAGGTCTCCATCAAGGTGGCCGGCATCCACTGGCACTACGGCACCCGCTCCCACGCCCCCGAGCTCACCGCCGGCTACTACAACACCAGGAACCACGACGGGTACCTGCCCATCGCGCGCATGATCGCCCGCCACGGCGCCGTGCTCAACTTCACCTGCGTCGAGATGCGCAACCACGAGCAGCCGCAGGACGCGCAGTGCATGCCCGAGGCGCTCGTCAGCCAGGTGGCCGGCGCCGCCAAGGAGGCCGGCGTGGGCCTCGCCGGCGAGAACGCCCTGCCCAGGTACGACGAGACGGCGCACGACCAGGTGCTGGCCACCGCCGCCGAGAAGGCCGAGGAGGACCGCATGGTCGCCTTCACCTACCTCCGCATGGGCCCCGACCTCTTCCAGCCCGACAACTGGCGCCGCTTCGCCGCCTTCGTCAAGCGCATGACGGAGACCGGCGTCAGGGACGTGAGCCGGGAGCAGGTGGAGCGCGAGGCTCATAACGTCGCCCACGCCACCCAAGGCGTCATCCAGGAGGCCGCCGTCGCCCTCTGCAACTAATCAACTATGCATGCATACATACATACGTACGTACGTACGTACCGTGATGATCCAAGGTGTGTACCGAACGAAGGTGGGAAGGAAACGTAGGGGGATCCATCGATCCATCGATCGGGTGACTTGGGAGTAGTTGCCGCGCCTGAAGCTTCGATGGCATGGCGATGCCGGTTTCGGCCTCGCTACCGACCTCGAAAGCTTGCAGGGGACTGATGTACTACTACGTACTAAGCTACCGCAGTAGCAGTGTTGCACTGTAAGATCGATACTCGAAAATGCTGTAACGCCTTGCTGTATCTGTTCCACTAAAGTGAAATCAATGAAGAACAGAGCTTGGCGACCACTCATTTCTTGTTGCTATCTTCTACTCTCTTCGTTCTATCTTCTACTCTTCGTCCGTCCCATAACTCTCCGTTTCAAATTACTCGCCGTAGAAATAGATGTATCTCGAACTAAAATACATCTAAATACATTCATTTCTACGACGAGTAATTCGGAACAGAGATAGTATAATATAAGATCTAAATACATTCATTTTTACGACGAGTAATTCGAAACGAGAGAGTATAATATAAGATCATTTTACAGGCTGTTTGGGACTATATTTATGGATACTTGTCGGAACGGAGGGAGTATAATATAAGATCGTTTTACAGGCTGTTTGGGACTATATTTATGGAATGAAATGGAGGGAGTACCGCTTTGGAGTGGATTGTACTTTGAGTTGCCACGTCATCGTCTGACTGACTTAGCCTCTCATCAACCATACAATCTTCATCCAATGGTCTGCTTTACCCCTCACTTCCGTACCTAAGAACTAAATATTTATGAAATGAAAAAAAAGTGATTTTGTGAACTGCTCTCTCTCACACACACATACACACATAATGTGGTGCATTTAGATCTTTCTAAAAATCTAACTTTAGAAATTTTAACCAAAGTTACAAAGAAAACTATTTATATCTGTAGTATGTACTAAATATAAAAAATGTGAAACTACTTATAATGAAACTAATGATATATGCTTATCATTCTAAATGTAAATGTTTTTGTCCAAAGATTTAGAAAGTATGTGAGGTTTGACCTACTATATGCACTATAGAACGAAACGGAGGGAGTATGAAAGATGGAAAGTGAACACACAAATACCATTTTTTATTTCTCTTATTTCACAAATGTACGTGCATACATACATACGTACTATGATTTGTTGTAATACATGTATGTCGTGGTGTGTACCGAACGAAGGTGGGAAGGAAACATAGAGGGATCAATTGATCGATCGGGTGACTTGGGAGTAGTTGCCGCGCCTGAAGCTTCGATGGCATGGCGATGCCGGTTTTGGCGTTGCTACCTCGAAAGCTTGCAGGGCTGATGTACTACGTACTAAGCTGCCGCAGTAGCAGTGTTGCACTGTAAGATCGATACTTGAAAATGTTGTAAAACTTGCTGTATCTATTCCCCTAAAGTGAAATCATGAACAGAGCTTGGCGAGCACTAATTTGTTGCTATTTTCTACTCTCCTCGTCTCATAATATAATGTCAATATAAGATCGTTTTGCAGGCTAACTGTTTTAGCTTGCAAAACTATCTTATATTATGAGATGGAGGGAGTACAGTTTTGGAGTGGATGATCTGACTTTGAGTTGCCACATCATCGACTGAGTGACTTAGCCTCTCATCAACCATACAATCTTCATCCAATGGTCTGCTTTACCCCTCACTTCTCACTCCAAGAACTGCAGATTTACGGAATGAAAAAAAGTGATTTTTGTGAAATACTCTCTCTCTCTCTCTCTCTCAAACACACGCACACACACACATAATGTAGTGTGTATAGATTTTTTCAAAATCTAACTTTACAAATTTTAACGAAGATACAAAGAAAACTATTTATATCTATAGTACAGTGCACACTAAATTAAATTTTAAACTAGAGATTTTTTTCAAATAGACAATGTATAAGGCTTAGGTTTGGGGCACTTACATAATCATCTAGCAGCAAAGATTGGTGTCATGTGCATATTCAGAATGCATGGGCTTGCCATGTGCTGCCATCGCCCATTGCCATTAGTTTATAACCGTGTGAGGTATCATGGGACTATCAATATCCCCAAGTACTCAATGCATCAGCGATGTGCACGCCCCTAATGTCAAGAACCCCTTGGTTCTAAAACCCTGCTCAAGCGTCATCGTATGCTGAACTCCCCCGAGTGTGAAGGAGCAGATCGCCGGCACCCTTGAATCCTCGAGAGTTTGCTCGAAGGTAGAGAGGAACTCCATGGTGACGTTGCGGTATGTCGGGTAATGAAAGTCACTGAAAACTCACATGCCGACATTGTTCGCAAAGCCATGTGAAGTCACCGTGGAGCTCTTGGGACTCCAAGAACGCGTCACACTTCCACTTCGTGGGCGTCATCCCTCGGCTGTTCACTCCGTTGAAAGTCCTTGTTGACAGCAGCTCAAATTTGACTTCTCAAACGAATTGACCCCACATGGAAGTCTCTCTTCATCATCTTCTTCTTCCTTCCCCGGCTCACCTAGCCAGAGTTGTCTGTCTACGGTGACCGCGAGTGAGGTAGCTCGGACACGCGCAGCCTGCACAACACGAACAGATGCATCCACGCATGGCTAGCAAATACGCGCAACACGCACAAATGCGTATGCCGGAGGCTGTGCACGCACGCAAATGAACACATATCCTACCAGCGGCTGTGCACGCACACGCTGTATCAGCACACATACGCACAAGCACCATTAGCGCACGCGGCGACTGACATATAGTACTTCACCACGCAGGACGACGCCTCTTCACGCGCTCGTGGCACCCGACATGCGGGAGGTGTCGAAGCGCTCGAGTTCATGGTCCACGGCCACGGCAACGACACTAGTGCAAGCAGTCCGCCGTCGAGGTGGGTCGAACTGTGAATCGTCCAAATTCCTCGCCGCCGGCGAGATTCCTAAGCTGGCGAGGGTCACCGGATGTTGAGGGTTCTATTTTTTGCGGTCACCACATCAGGGGCGGCGGACGGCCGGCGGTGTGCTTCGCACAAGGCACATGAGTTTTACTCCGGACTTGTCACCGATCCTTTTAAATAAGAGAGTTGGGCTGGTTGTCAAACTTAGAAGAGGAGCATTTTCTCCTCTGTAAAGGTTTTAGGGATCGTGCAGCGAACTCCCAAAAAAGACGAGTTCAATTTTTTAAGGATTGGTTAGATGCACTTATATAGCAACTCAATGTCAGCAAATCCGCTCCGCCTAAATTTATCGATCATCCTTGATGTTGTGCATCCCTTAACAAGTACGTACAGAGGGAGCATTGGTTATTCTCTTGATTGGTTGATTATTTCATGAAGTCGGGGTCGACAAGGAAGGCGCGCACGTGGCCTGCACGATGATACACTGATACGTGTCCACGTCGCCTCGTTTTATATATACACGAAATTCAACTTCCATTTCATTTCGTAGCAGCTTCAGCTTCAAGAGATGGAGATCCCTGAGCAGGTCCGTGCGTGCTAACCCTTTCTCTCTTTTTCATTCAGCTGATGAAAGAATTCTTCTCCAGATCAAGTTTCTCGATGCAAATTTGCCACCTCAAACCTGAAACCGTTCGTTTGTTTGTGCGTAGACCAATCCCTGCGCGATCTGTCTCGGTGGCACGGGCGCCGGCGGTGGGCAGGCCATCTTCACGGCGGAGTGCTCCCACACGTTCCACTTCAGTTGCATCTCTGCCAGCGTCCGCCCGCTCTGCAACGCCGTTCCGGCGACACACACCACCTCCACCTCCGCCGCCTCCGCCGGTGCGGCCGCAGATAGACACTCGTCCCGCTTTCCTCCGCTCGTGCATCATTCCCCCGCTCACCAGCCGCCGCATCGAACAAAACAGTTGTCGTCAAGACGCACAATGAATACCCGGCCGTCGCCAGGGATTCGTCCAGCGACAACTTCGCCGTGCTCGTTCACATCCAGGCTCCCAGGATGACCGACATCACGGCGGCCGGTGGCGACCCGCCGCGCGCGCCGGTGGACCTCGTGACGGTTCTCGATGTGAGTCATAGTATGAGCGGGCAAAAATTGACGCTGTTGAAGCAGGCCATGCGGTTCGTCATCGCCAATCTCAGCCCCGACGACCGCCTCTCCGTCGTGTCCTTCAACATGAAGGCGCGCCGGGTGACCAGGCTCGTGCGCATGTCGGAGGCCGGCAAGGCCCTGTCCGTGAGCGCCGTGGAGTCCCTCACGGCGGGCGGCTGCACCGACATCGCCGAGGGGCTCCGTATGGCAGCCATGGTACTCGACCAGCGCCGACACAGGAATGCCGTCTCGAGCGTCATGCTCCTCTCCGATGGCCAGGACAACTACATCATGATGAGGCACCAGGAGTCGTCCGGCGTCCAGGCCAACGACTACGAGGACCTCGTCCCGACCACCTTCACGCGCACGTGTGCTGACGGTGAATGGTCAGTGCCAATCCACACTTTCGGCTTCGGCAATGACCACGACGCGGCCGCGATGTACATCATCGCCGAGGCTACAGGCGGCACGTTCTCGTTCGTCGAGAACGAGGCGGTGATCCAGGACGCGTTCGCACAGTGCGTCGGCGGGCTGCTCTCTGTCGTGGTCCAGGAGGCTCGCATCGTTGTCGCGTGTGTGCACCCCGGGGTCCGTGTCATGTCGCTCAAGTCCGGCAGTTACGAGAGCCGCATCGACAAGGATGGCCGCGCCGCTACGGTCTGGGTCGGGGAACTATACGCTGATGAGGAGAGGCATTTCTTGCTGATCCTGACCGTGCCAAGAGCCGAAGCGACAGTCGGTGACACCACCGCTCTGTTGAATGTGTCATTCAGCTACAGAGATGCGGCGACCGGCGCGGACGTGAGCGTGTCGGCCAAGGATACAGTGGTGGCGAGGCCGGAGCACGCGGCGGACGCGGAGCGGTCGGTGGAGGTTGAGTGGGAGCGTGTCCGGGTAGATGCGGCCGAGGACATCGTGGCGGCGAGGGCAGCAGCTCAGCGGGGCGAGCACCAAGAGGCGGCGGCGATACTCAAGAACCACCAACGTGCAGTGGCGCTGTCAGAGGCGGCGCGCGACGGCGCCCCCGTGACCGTGGCGCTAGAGGCCGAGCTGCAGGAGATGCGCAGGCACGTGTCGAACCGGCAGAGCTACGCGCTGTCGGGTAGGGCGTACATGCTCTCCGGCATGAGCGCACACCAGCAACAACGCGCTACCTCGAGGCAGATGAATCTGGTGGATGAGATGTCGGTGGAATCTGTGGCCGCACCGGCGGCGGCGCCGCCAGTAAAGTTGGCATCGAACGAGCCGACATTGTCGTACGCGACACCGGCTATGCGCGCCATGCTGCTGCGCTCGCGGAGGGCACGGGAGGCATCAGCCGAGGGCAGAAGCTACAAGCTGAAGAAGAATATGCAGGAGGCTCCGAACACGGTCAGCCTACGCCACCACTGACATCGTCGTGTCTGCGCTTGCCCACGCAGCTACGTCCGCCACCGCCGCCGCCACCCGTGCGTATCGGGCAGGCTGAGTCGCCTACGGTCGTCTTCGATGACGACGAGCAGGTTGGTCCAGCCTCTGGGCCACCAGCTGACAACCGGTCACCAGCCGCCGCGTCGAACGAAGCAGTTGTCGTCAAGACGCAGAGCGAGTACCCAGCCATCGCTAGGGATTCGTCCAGCCACAACTTCGCCATGCTCGTGCACGTCCAGGCTCCCGGGATGACCAAGATCATGGCGGCAGGTGGCGACACGTCGTGCGCGCCCGTGGACCTTGTGACAGTTCTTGACGTCGGTGGCAGCATGAGAGGGTACAAGTTGGCGCTGCTGAAGCAGGCCATGCGGGTCGTCATCGCCAATCTCGGCCCTGATGACCGCCTCTCCGTCGTGTCCTTCTCCTCCGTGGCGCGCCGCCGAACCAAGCTCACGCGCATGTCAGAGACCGGGAAGGCCTTGTCCGTGAGCGCCGTGGAGTCCCTCATGGCGGGCGGCGGCACCAACATTGCTGAGGGGCTCCGTGTGGCAGCCATGGTACTCGACCAACGTCGGCACAGGAACGCCGTCTCTAGCGTCCTGCTCCTCTCCGACGGCCCAGGGCCGTCCAGCGTCCAGGCCAACAATTACGAGGAGCTCATCCCGCCCGTCTTCGCGCACACGGGCGTTGACTGTGAATGGTCAACACCGATCCACAGGTTCGGCTTCGGCAACGACCACGACGCGGCCGCGATGCACGTCATCGCCGAGGCGACGGGCGGCACGTTCTCATTCATCGAGAACGAGGCGGTGATCGAGGACGCGTTCACCCAGTGCATCGGCAGGCAGCTCTCTGTCATGGTCCAGGAGGCTCGCATCGCCGTCGCGTGCGTGCACGCCGGGGTCCGCGTCATGTCGGTCAAGTCTGGCAGTTATGAGAGCCGCATCGACGAGGACGGCCGCGCCGCCACGGTCTGGATCGGGGAACTCTACGCCGAGGAGGAGAGGCGTTTCTTGCTGTCTCTGGCCGTGCCAAGAGCTGAAGCAACAAACGGCGACACCGCTACTCTGGTGAAAGTGGTGTTCAGCTACAGAAACGCGGCGACCGGCGCGGGCGTGAGCGTGACAACGGAGACACAGTGGTGGCGAGGCCGGAGCACGCGCCGAACGCATCGGAGCGGTCGGTAGAGGTGGAGCGGGAGCGCATCCGGGTGGAGGCGGCAGAGGACTTCGCGGCGGCAAGGGCAACGGCGGAACGGGGCGACCACCGAGAGGCGGTGAAGATACTCAACAACCGGCAGTGTGCAGTAGCGCTGTCACAGTTGTCGCGCGACGACGACCCCGTGATCATGGCGCTGGAGGCCGAGCTGTGGGGGATGTGCAGGTGCGTGGCGAACCGGCGGCAAATTTGACAATTTTGACATGTGGACGAAAAGATTTCACAAAATGAACTGCTTTGAAAAAAATTCACCCAGATGACTGTTTTGAGTGGCGCCCGACACGAAGGCGCCACACCCTACGGTGCAGCGCCCAGCTCGCAGGCGTTGCACGTCTGTCCAGCGTGGCACCCCGGGCCCCACTCCTGGTTGTGCAGCGCCTAACTGAAAGGAGCTGCATTATCTTATATAAAACTGTTGTAACTTTTAATCCGTGTATCCGATGAAAACGTGCCTTATATGAATGTTGTGCATTTTTCTGTGCTCTACGCAATGGTGGCATTTTCATCTATGTTAGGATCAATTTGCTTGATGAAAACTCTGTGGCAAAAGTGCATCATAATATAATGACAGAATCTGTTAAAATTTGCAAACTTGGCTTGATGATATCCATTGACCTATAGCCCTTATTCATTTGCATCCTACATGCGTTTTGCACTACGCAATGTGTACTTTCACACCATGCCTGTCCTTCCCATGTTAATCATCTTTAACATGTTCATTTTGTGCATCTAAGTGACTAAATGAACTTGTACCCCTAAAAGTTGCATTTTGTAAGATTCATAGTAATTAATCCTGGCATCATATGAATATGATCTAATTATGGAAGTTGGAAAATCGATCTTATGTCTACTTTATGTCTGATACGGGCATGGCACCATCAATTGTTAATGCTATTGAAGCTAAGCCAGTTAAGGAGAGAAGGCATTGGAAAATAATGTCATGCATGCGGTCAGATTGCATCAAGGAAACGATGGTCATGTATGTCAGTTGTGTGGATCGAGAATAAATTCTGTAATTAGCAGACCAAAGATCAACGAAGTGTTGCATGCATTAGATTCAAGACGAAGAGACGTGCATGGTCATGTATGCATAGTATGACCAGATTTGGACTATAAGAAAAACATGGCGTGGGGAGGATCATCATGGGGCAGTTTTGGTTTATTCGTGAGTTATGAGACATACTGAAAACATCCGAGTTTCGGGCGACCATATCTTGTATATCATCTATGATTTTTCTATCGTGAAAATTTACTAGCAACGGAGGGTTGATCATCACATCAACACCTACGTGCTGACCCAAGAAGATGATTATTTTTATTCGTGTATTTTCATACATGGGTGAAAATTATTCTTGGAGGTTGCAAGGAGGAACAAGAAGACGGACTGTTGATCAAGCATCACCGTGAAAGACCGGGCCATCTACACGCACAAATTAGCGCCTCGCTAGTCCGTGCCTCATCAATGTCCATGTCATTTTCGTACCCACTAAATATTTGCATCACTATGTTGTTGGGACACTAAAGTACCTAAGGCAATATTCTACTAGATTAACACGTTAATTTCACCAAGTCACTGGATGTCAATAGAACTTTGCATTTTGTAAAGATATATACTTATATACTCTTAAAATTTAACACTTATAATGTTTGTTGTCAGTAGCAAGAGCACATGTTCTTTGATTTGACCTCAGCTTTTAGGCTACTGAAAAAAGATGTAGTTGCTTGTATTGCGTACTGCTATATATATAGGGTATAAGGTCGGTACAGAGTGAGTCGGTTTGAACTTGATAGCTTAGGACACCCTAGTGCTAACCAGGATGACAAAACAGAATTAGCAGAAAAACTAGTTGTTGGTGCTACTAGCTGGAAGTCAGAAGGCTTATCTTACTAGAATAATGAAAACCAAAGTTTAGCTAGCAGGAAAACTAAACCGATCTGCACAAAATTCTAAATGGAAAACATATCAAGTTCATGCCAAGGGGTTTGGTAAAACTCAAGATATGAGCATGTTTTGTGAAAACATGTGTGGTATACTGAAAGTAGACATGGAGATGCTCAAATTCATATATAAAGTTATTCCATATGAAGCACGGTTGATTTACTATGCATTTTACAAAATGCGAAGTTCTCTTGACATCGAGGGACTTGGTGAAATTCATAAGTGTTAATCTGGTAGAATATTGCCTTAGGTACTTTAGTGTCTCAAAAACATAGTGATGCAAATATTTAGTGGGTATGAAAATTACATGGAGATAAAGTAGACATAAGATTTTCCAACTTTCATAGTTAGATAATATTCATATGATGCCAGGATTAATTACTATGGATCTTACAAAATGCAACTTTCTGTAACAGAAGTTCATTTATATCATGTCAGTCACTTACATGCAAGAAATGAACATGTTAAAGATGATTAACATGGCAAGGATAGGCATGGCGTGAATGTACACATTATGTAGTGCAAAACTCATGTAGGATGCAAACGCATAAGAGTTATAGGTCAATGGATATCATCATGCCAAGTTTGTAAGTTTTAACAGATTCTAACAGTTATATTATGATGTACTTTTTCCACAGAGTTTTCATCAAGAAAATTGATCCTAACATAGATAAAAATGCCATCATTGCGTAGAACATAGAAAAATGCACAACATTGATATAAGGCACGTTTTCATCGGATACACGGATTAAAAGTTATAACGGTTTTAATATAAAATAGTGCAGCTCCTTTCAGCTAGACGCTGCACTACACTGTGCAGCTCCTTTCAGCTAGGCGCTGCACAACCAGGAGTGGGGCCCGAAGTGCCACGCTGGACAGACTTGCAACGCCTGCGAGCTAGGCGCTGCACCGTAGGGTGTGGCGCCTTCGTGTCGGGCGCCACTCAAAACAGTCAGCTGAGTGAATTTTTTTACAACGCAGTTTATTTTATGAAATGTTTTCGTTCACAGATCAAAATTGTCAAATTTGCCCGAACCGGCAGAGATACGAGCGGTTGGGTCCGCCGTACATGCTTTAGTTAACAGCATGTTCGATGCATGCGGTCCATTGATCCAAACATCCCAGACCTCCTCAGTCTTTACTCGTCTTCGTCATTGGATGCCATCAAGTATTCTGGCCCAAATATCTCAACCATGACTTTTGTGTATGTTTTTTTTAGGAAAAGGTTAGGATTTTGTCGTGTATTTTTATTGATTTTCAAATAACAAATACAAAGTCAAGTATTCAAAAGGAAAAAAGAAACTATACAGACATGTGAATAAATAATATAGCTAGAGGAAAGAAGAGAGAAAAATAATAAACAACAAAAGGGGGATACAAAACGGAAATGCATATCAGCTCTCGGGTGCTACACCCCTCTATATTCAAAAATAATTTAGTAATTCAAAAAAAGTCAAAAAATCCTGAAACTTTTTATGGAATCTAACATGACTAAGTATTGCACTCGTATAAAAAGATTAAATAGGGAATGACTTTTATTGTATCCAGATCCAAAGATTTCCTAGAAAATGCTAGATACAAGTATACTACTCATGCTATATTGTGGTCATAAATTTGTTTTTTTTGCCATGGAGTCAACGAGAATAATTCCTTGGCCAAACTTTTTATATGAGTACAATACCTAGTCATATTTGGTTCAAAAATATATTCACGATTTTTTGAATTTTTTTGAATTATTAAATTATTTTTTAATATAGGGGGGTGGAGCACCCGAGTGCTCCTAATCCGCTTCCGATACAAAATCCCTACTAAACAAGAGCATCAACCCAAGCTTCAAGGTTGGAAAAAAAATTCTCGTGGCCCGGTGGACTAGCCACTGAAGCTCATTCTTGATTTTTCTTGTGCAAGTGTATAGGCTTGGAGGGATCCTTTTGAAAATCCAACCATTTCAGGTAGTCCAGATGGCCCAGGCAGCAAGGATGATGACCTCCAAAGCGAAAGGCAAGTCTATATGAGTTTTCATATCATTGATATCCATTTGTATGGCCTGATATAGGGGAGCCTAGTTGGGACAAAGGTAGGACCAGCAAACCCTAGCGAAGGGGCAACGAAAAAAGAGGTGATCTCTTGTTTCAAGCTCATGCAGATGACATAACAAACAAGAGTATTCCTCCAGGGAGAAATTCTTGCGTTGTAACATGGTCCTGGTGCTTAGTTTGTTGTTAATGAGCAGCCAGGAAAAATAATATAATGATTTAGTTAACAGCATGTGTGCCAAAACCGTTTAGTAACTGGTAGAACATCATGCTCACCCATGAGAATCTTGTATATGTTGTTGACTTTGTAAGTGGTTCCATCTGCTGGACATTGCAACAAATCATGATATGTGTGAAGGTCAATCTCACAAGTTGGAGAAGAAAATTAACTTGTTCAAATGGCTCTTTAGAGAGAGGTAGATGGAAAAGATCATCCTGGCTCCATAACTGGCTAATAGAAATTTGATCAGTCTTGGCAAAGGGAGTGCAGATGAGGCCAAAATTTGAGTATAAGGCTGACCATTCCAAGTATCAGTCCAGAATTGGATAGAGGTACCATTGAGTACATTGCAGTTGGCCATGTTTTCGTAGATATGCATTAGTTTGAGACAATCTCTCCACCAAAAAAGAAGCAGCAGCAGGCTGATCAACATGTTGCACATTGGCATGGTATGCTTCCCAGACCAAGTGGCCCCATGGTATATCATGATGATTGAAGAACTTATGGAGCATCTTCATCAGCAGACTATTGTTTTGTAACTGTAAATTGAGGATCCCTAATCCACCCTGCTCTTTAGGTTTGCATACTAGCTCCCATGCTGCCGCCAAAAGGGAGGACTCTTTCTTTCCAAATCTTTCCCTCTCCAAAACAAATGTCTCCCATATTTGTCAACTTAAGTAATAATGCCTTTATAAAAAGAAGAAAACTCATAAGGAAGGTGGGTAATGAAGATAGGAAATAATTGACCATCAGCAGCCTCCCATCATAACTCAG